GGTATACCTAATTTGCCAAACTAGATTTGTATTTGAAAACTAGATTTTGACACACAAGCATTATTTGAATATTAGTTACTGTCAGAATCAATGAGCGCAGCAGAAGAAGTTATGGTTTGTTCAAGTCTCTTGTTCTCGTTTTTTTATATCGACAAAATGAATTCAATGTTTATTCCTTTATAGTTATTATATCCTTTTATTGTGTATTTATGGGGATTTCACCACTAAAACACAATTTGCATTCATACCTTTTTATTTATTGACAACAACTGTCAGATCTTAATTTTTTCATAAGCCTACATATATGGCTTTCATACTCTACAATCTCTCCACCACTAAGTATAAAAAACATAAGTAATGCTAAAAATGCATAACAAAGCATGTAATTTTTTTAAAATTTATATTTTGGATTCAGATTTCTAGTTGAGCGGGGAGGCAGCCCTTGCATTGGTACCTCTAAATGTTGATTGGATTTACTGCCAGAACTTTCGCCCTCTTCTCCTCTTAATAACAAGGAGTCGGAAGTTATGATATCAACTTCTGTAGCCTTCGCGTTACAATTAGCTTGATCTGTGCTCAACATATTAGAAAAAATTTCAAAATTACTTAAATGTAAATCATATTCTTCATTTTTATTAGGGTTCCGTAGTCAACTAGGAACCCTTATAGTTTCGCCATGTCTGTCTGTCCGTCTATCCGTCCTCGCTTAATCTGTGACCGTTAGCACTAGAAAGCTGAAATTTGGTACCAATATGTGTATCAATCACGCCGATAAAGTGGTAAAATAAAAATTGGAAAAAAATGTTTTATTAGGGTAGCCCCCCCTGTATGTAAAGTGATTTTTTTTAATTTCAACCCTAACGTGTGATATATTGTTGGAAAGGTATTTAAAAATGAATACGGGTTTACTAAAATTATTTTTTGATAATGTCAATAATTTCGGAAATAATCGCTCTCCAAAATTAAAAAACAATGTGTCCATCCCCCCTCTAACTTTTGAACCATAAGTTTAGAAAATATGAAAAAAATCTGAAAAGTAGAACTTTATAAGGACTTTCTAGGAAAATCATTTAGAACTTGGATGGAAACAACAGTTTTTGTACAAAAAAGGCAAAAAGTTGTACAAAATAATTTCTGGACTAAGTTTGCAGTATAATCGTATATGCAAGCATTTTTTTAACTTCGTTTACATATTTTATTATCCTGAACGTATCTTTTTTCAAACAAAAAAAGAATTATTAAAACCGGTTCTCGCAATCCAAAATTACAACCGAAAACTTCTGGCACGTCTATGTATTAATTGTAAATTCCCCGAGAGATGGCGCTGTAGGTACTTATTACATTGGGTCGGGTATTATTGAATTGTTCGGTTGGTCTCTCCTTGGCATTGGCGGTATCTTATAACTACATAAAACTTCTATCAGGAACATGCTAAGGCAATTTAGAACAAAACTAAAATTCATTTTTAACGCCATCAAAATGTTAAGGTAAAAACCAGTTCATAAATGGTTCGATAGATGGCGTTGCGTAATGACGTAATTTTTTTAAAAGTCGATGTTAAGATTTTCCGTGCTTTCATGACCTACCGTGGTAAAGGAAGTTGCACTTAAACATATTCGTAATTTTATGAGTGCACAATCTAATAGTCGTCGAGGTTTGATTAAATTAGATTGTGGGTAAAATTAACTTCTTTTGCGGATATTGTTCATATTAATTTTGTATGTACGCACAGTACGCAGTTACTTGATACGTACAACTCCTAGCTAATTACGATTTGAAGTGGGCTAGTTTGTTAAAATACATATTACTTACTTGTGTATAACTACTTATTGTCCGGTATTAGCCTCAAAACGAGTCTCATTTACAAATTATATATGGCGGAGAAGTCGGGTTTGTGGGGCATTGGATTTGCATTTATTACATCATTGGATTATTACGGGTCTACGATACTTTATATAATAGTTTAAGTCATTCGCAGCTAGAGATGAGTCGTACTAGGTAAATTTCGTACTAGGTGCACCTAGTCCAATTCCGTATAAATACTCGATCCAAATACCTGTTCCACCTAGTCCATAAAGTATCAAGTACTCATAAAGTTTAGTATTGTTGGAATAGGAAAAGGATACGCTAGTTTCAAGTACCATATTTTACGTGTGTACTGCTGAAACGTGTGCAATAATGAATTCATACATCTTCCCTTCATACTTTACAAAATTATTATAATTATTCTCGTAACTAAATTACGAGAATTAAGGTTATATGAGAAATAAATTAAGATAATTTACTTCAAATGCTACTTAGTAGTGCTTCATATTTTGTAAAATTTGTTTTAAAAGATGTTTATATTTGATTTATTTGAAGAATGGCAGTACTCACCTATTGATTTTGTATGTCTTGATTTTAAGTTGCTATGTTTTTTTTTACTATTGCTATAATTCTATAATTGGTTGATGCAGCTCATACTAATGACGGACGGGAGAATTTAAAGTGGATTATTTTCATTTATTTCTCATATAATCTTAATAGTAACGAGCCTAGTTATAATATTTTTTTAGAATATTGTTTGCATAATTCTTATAAATAACATTAAAAAAAAGAATTGTTCTGAAAAATAAAAAGTGAGTTTGTCAGTTCCGGCGCACGACTGAAGTTTACTCCTTACGAACGATTATAAAATATATAGATTAGTAAATGTGGGTAAATGAACATTTACTTATATTAATTATTTAATGTATATTCATAGAAAAAATATTACATAATCATTGAAACGTAAATTGTTTACGCTTCCAATACTATGTTATGTAGTTATGGAAACATGAAAACAGCGTCCACCGAGATCACATTCGCATGAGTCCGTACCGTATTTGACAATAGACACTCGCCTGGCTTGTACTCTTGTATAAGTATTTGGTTGAACTAGTCCGAGTCCCGACCTGTCTCGTACTAGTATTTGGTTGAACTAGTCCGAGTCCCGACTAGTCTCGAGTCTCGAATATTGACAGACAAAGATAGAAAGACTACGGAATAGTCTAGTTAAAAAAGGACAGAATATATTATTACACAACAAACACAAGTGCGCGTCACGTTAACTTTATGTTCATTAAAATTTGGTTCAAATTCAAATGACTGACAAACTAATGATTTAGGCAAAGACGACCCGAGTTGAGCGCCTAGTAACTACAGTCTACGGCAACAAAATACGAGTACGACGCGTAGGCACAGTGAGACCAGATGGATCAAGTATTTTAAAAGTTGGAATAGGTGCAACCTATTCTCGTTAAATACTTAGTCCCTGGATCTGTTCTAGTATATACGCTTCATCTCTATTCGCAGCACGTTTACGTTAACGCACTAATCCCATACTTGGATAATAATAAAATACAATTCCCTAGTGTTCAACGTCAACCAAATAATAGTATTGAGTGTGGGCTATTCGCCATTTGTTTTGCCACCGCTTTAGCTTTGAGAGTTAATCCATCCTGTATCAATTTCATTGCCGAGGACATGCGACGTCATTTGTTTGATATGTTATCTCGAGGTGTATTGGAACTTTTCCCATCAACTAACACCGCAAGAAGAGCTGGCCGGCCACCAGCAAATTTGTTCCTTAATATACTAGCAAAGAAAGAAAAATGTAAAATTAAGGATGCCGAAAAGAGAAAAAAAAGGTCTCAAAAGACACAGTCTCAAGAAACTGAAAGTCAAAACGTTAATAACAAGAAAACATTGAATACCCCACATTTACAGATAATACGCAGATATTTGAAAGTCTAACGTTTACAAGTAGTACGCAGATATTTGAAAGTCCAACGTTTACAGGTAGTACGCAGATAATTGAAAGTTCAACATTTACAGATGAATCACAGAAAGACAAAAATCCGACCATTGACTGTTTAGCACTTACGTATAGTACTCAAGAAAAACCAAATCCTACATTAAGACATGCCAACAACGAACATACTGGGTCCGGCCAAGCCAAACGTAGAAGAAAAAATACTGATTACACACAGACTAAGCAAATACGAAACACTGAGAGCCACAGAGCCACTCGTCAGATTCCCGACATTAGACAGGCAGAACAGCAGCGAGACACGCAGGATCACCGCATAACTCGGGAAAACCCAGTCTTCCGTGATATAGAGCAACGGCGTGATACCCAGGCTCACCAAATAGCTCGCGAAGATCCACATTATTCACAAATTGAACGAGCTAGTGACACCAGAACTCGACAATCGGCGTGTTGTAATTCTATTAATGAAACTAATAAAGCATTCTATTTCGACTAAATATAATGCAGAATTCACGTTAAAAATTTTAATTTAAATCCTTATGATCAATCTGCGGAGTTTTGCTGTACGTGTGCTAAATATATAACTCAAGGGCGAATGCCACGATTGGCAATAGCTAATGGATTGAAGTTTCCAGATATTCCAGATGTTTTGAATGAATTAACTTCAATGGAGGAGAGATTAGTAAGTCCTCGTCACGTATTTTTGAAAATAGTTCGTAGAGGCCAGGGATTAGAATATCAGCATGGTTTATCAGGAAATGTTATTAATGTACCTGTAAAAATTAATAACATTGTAAAAGCTTTGCCTCGGTCGATAAATGATGACAATGTCATCACTGTAGAGTTGAAGCGTAAATTCTGTTATAAACATGGTCCAAAAGAACAAGCAGCGGAATATTTAGTAACGTGTGATCTGTTTCGGACATATGGTATAGAACTTGAAGGTTCATGGACAAATAATGAACCTGAAGACACTGTCGAATGTACCTGTAGTTCACCTGAGCAGGAGAGCAATGTTGATGAGATTCCTGATGTAAATCCTGGTAGCACAGAAACTCTGTTAGATGAAAACTAAGACCTAACAATAGTTATGGCTCCAGGAGAAGGTGAAAGGCCAATTTACTTGCTTTTTGATCGACATCTGGAAGAGCTGGCCTTTTGTTTTTACTTATATCTGATGCTGAAGTGCAATGGATTCCATTATTAATTTTGAAGTAGGTAGTTGATAAGAAAAAACTTACTGAGCTTGAAGCGGAAAACTTGCCATACGATACAAAAACTCGCCTTATACAATCCGATCCGTTCATTTGCGCCACATATTTTGAAATCAAATTAAAAGAAATTCAAAAAACCTGGTCCTGTTCATCTGGACCTTTCTTAAATTATAAAATCACTCACTTTTATTATCGCATTGAGTTTTAGCATAGAGGATCGCCTCATGCTCATATGATGTTATGGTTAGACGAAGCGCCCACTTTTGTACCTGGTGATACAGCATCTGCTCATGATATTTCCAAATTTGTTGACAATATTATTTTCTGTAACAGCACTGAAGTACCTGATGAACTTAGATGTCTACAACTACATAAACATACACATACATGCCGGCCAACATCAGATAGACTGTGTCGCTTTGGAATACCATTTTTCCCCATGGATGAAACAAAAGTATTAATAGAACTTTCAAAAGACGATCCAGAGTTCAAAAAGTCGAAACAATTGGCAAAAGACATCTGCCAAAAAATACAAATATTCCTGCAGGAATATACACTTTCGTTGATTTTTTGGACTGGATTAGAGTTAGTTATGAAGATTACATATTTGCTATTAGAAGCACCTTAAAACGACCTACGGTAGTCCTTCAACGCAGACCTCAGGATGTATTTATTAATCCTTTTAGTAAAAAAATCTTAGCTTTGCACAAAGCAAACATAGACATCCAATTCATATTAGACCCGTTTGCGTGCGCAGTATATATTGTTGACTATATTAACAAGGCTGACCGAGAGATGTCTCGTCTTTTGCGTGAAGCTTTAGACGAAGCTAAAAAAAGGAAACAAAAGTGTTAAAGATTAAGAATAGTATCTAATGTATTCTTAAATTCTAGTGAGATCTCTGCTCAAGAGGCAATCTATGTACTGACTGGTTTACCGCTGTCACGAGCTAGTGAAGCTGCAATGTACATAAACACTAGTTTGCCACAAAAGCGAGTGCATATTTTAAAAAGTTACCTTGAATTGCAAAGCCTCGAACCTGATTCTTCCGATATATTCCAAAAGGGTATTATTGATTATTATTCAAAACGACCACTATCGTTAGAAAACATAAGTCTTTCCCATTTTGTAGCATATTACACCTATTCCAAAAAAACTCATTCAGCTAGTTCAATAGAAACTCTCAATGACAGTTCTCAAGCAATTGATTATTCCCAGGCTGTTGAAGAAGTTGAAGCGGAAGGGAATTGGATTCCTTTGCAAGATAATTTAGGATACATACGGAAAAGAACTAAAACTCGAGTAATACGATTTCGCCGGTACAGTTACATTGATGATCCAGACAATTTCTATAGGGAACAGATAATGCTATACATCCCTTGGCAAACCGAGGAGGAAGAATTACTAAATCCCAACATAAATATAAAGGACATATTTGATGAGTATAAAGAAAGAATAAAGGCCGAAAGTAAACAATTCAATAAACTAGGTGATGCTGAAATGTTTGAAACATTGCTAACAGAAATAAGAAATGTAGAATTAATAAACGAAGAAGAAGATTTGCAAGGAAGAGGAGTCAACGTGGATGTATTTGAAGGCTTTGAATTTGAGACGCAAACAGTAGATATAGCAGAAGACCTCATTCCAGCCGGAAATCTCGGGCCGCAATTGTGTGGTGACCCCTCAACTTTCATTGCGCAACCGCCTCTCTTGTCCCATGACGATTTTTTGATTCTAACTAGAAAACTAAATGATGCTCAAAGAGACACGTTATTTCATATTTATCAACACTTTTCCATTACTTCTCCACATCCACTATATTTATTTATCAGTGGTGGGGCTGGCGTTGGCAAAAGTGTTCTGATTAAAGCAATTTATCAACCTAACTAACTCTCTTATTTAACAGAGAAGCTGGTAGTAATCCCGATGAATTAAAAATACTTTTAACAGCCTTTACCGGTAAAGCTGCATTCGGAATAGGACGGAAAACAATCCATAGCGCAATTGGACTTCCAGTGTCTCAAGTGGGCAATATCTTACCAGAGCTGTCGCCAGGTGTGGCCAATACTCTGGCCACAAAACTAGCAAAACTACGTTTAATTGTAATTGATGAAATTTCAATGCTAGGATCCATCACATTCCATCAAATAAATCGTAGACTTCAGCAAATATTTCATTCTTCTACCTTCTTTTCTGGAATTTCAGTAATAGTAGTTGGAGACTTCAGACAATTACCACCCGTTGGCGACAACTGGGTGTTTCAAGCTAATTTCTCGAAATCCTTTAGCAGAAATAGCAGGTACGCCGCTTTGGGATTTATTTGTACTGAGAGAACTTAAAGAAATAATGCGTCAAAGGGATGATGTTGCCTTTGCAACGGCTTTAAATAATATGGCTAGTGGATGTATGTCACCTGAAGATGTCAATTTAATTGAAGGTCAGTGCTTTAGTAACTCATCACTTCCAGACACGTGTAAAGGCGCAGTTCATCTATTCAGCAGTAACCGAGAAGTTGATGATCATAATTCTAAAATACTCTCAAATATGACTACCGAAGGAGTGATATCCCGGGCTGTGGATACAGTAAGTGGCGAAGCTAATCCTGCTATGAAAGAAAAAGCTCTAAACACAGTTGCCAAGTTACCTACGTCTCAAACCTACGGATTACCTAATGCTATAACTTTAAAAGTCACGGCTAAATATATATATGACAGTAAATATTAACACGTCAGACGGACTAGTGAATGGAACCACGGGGGGTACTGATTGCGATTGATTTTGCAGTCAATCCAACTACCGGTGAGAGAAGACCATTACGCATTTGGATATGTTTCGATGACGTAAATATAGGCAAATCAAAAAGAATTCAGAGCTCAACATCCCTCACTCGTTATCAAACACGGTTAAAAATAATTGGACTCCAATAGAACCAGTTACGTACACTATGAAAAGGTACAAATCTTCAAACTTACAAGTGCGTCGCAGTCAATTCCCACTAGTTCCCGCTGAAGCTGTTACTATACATAAAAGTCAGGGTTCCACCTTAGAAAAAGTTGTAGTACATTTAAAGCTCAATATTTTAAGATCTATGTTATACGTCGCTTGCTCACGTGCCACTAGCGCTCAAGGTTTATTCATTGTTACCGAGACCTTTCGTCCTCCACGTCCACCATCTGAGCATGATTCCGTCGTAACGGAAATGCGATAATTAAAATTAAATCCCCTGATTCCCATATATCGCTTTTTAAGAGAGCCCCGCAGTTCCTGCCAAATTATGTTCCATAACGTACAATCTCTACGTAAACACTTGCAGGATGTAGTAACCGATCCGCAGACGATGGCATGCGACATTTATTTAGCCGTAGAAACTTGGAGTTGCCTTCAAGATTTATTCAATATGAATAATTTTGAAGAAATAGTTCGAACAAATGGCCCGAAACAGTATTCTGCAAATCCCGGCTTTGGTGTATCTGCAATGATAAGACATAATAGAATATTCCAACCCACGATCTTACAGTGAAATTTCCGGAACTGAGCACTGTGAAGCAGTATCTTTTGAAGTAAATAATGTGAAAATAGTAGCCTTATATAGATCATGAAAATGCCCCAACAGCGTCGCAGTGAGTTTTATAAATAATTTATTGTCGCATAATAATTCTTGCATTATATTTGGAGATTTTAACGAAGACTACCTTAGTAACAGCAATACTGCAGTATTAAATTACTAAATGACGCTGGTTATCACTCCATGTTACAACCCCTACCCACTACTCGTGGTGGGATTCAAATAGACAACATTTTCTCGAACTTTCCATGTGTGGTTGGAATCTATAACTCTTTTTTTAGTTATCACCGTCCTTTATGGGCCCGTTTTTAGTGTTCCGTAATTATTAGAGTTCCGTAATAAATAGCCTTTTTAAGTTGGGTTACCACTGTGTTCGCGCTATAGCGGCGCTCCGCGCTCCTACAACTGCTCCAATGGATACGTCGCGCGCACTTCTACATGCGCTCCCCTTTGACACACTGCGCTCCCCTTTGTGTTCGCGCTAAAAACCATCACGAGTCGGAGCGCCTGCCGCGAAGCGTGCAATGTTGCACGCTCCATGTTCGCGCACGTACCCACTACCGGGAGCAGTTGCAGGAGCGCGGAGCGCCGCTGGAGCGCGAACATAATGGATACCCACCTTTAAACTCATAAGTGGGAACACTTACTGTGACGGACGGGAAACTACGGAACCCTACACTGAGCGTGGCCCGACACGCTCTTGGCCGGTTTTTTCCTTTGTATGCAACAATATGATCGCCATGTTTCTTATAATATTTATTTAACTCCGGAACAAAAACAGTAAATAATCTATTTCCTAATTTATTTTTAACTACGCCGAACTTCCACGTGTAATCGTTCCCGTTGTTGTAAAAATGCTTAACTAAAATTTTATCCTTTTTTTTAAAATTGCTCTTTCTTCGTCCATCATAGTTTTCACTCTGTAAGATCCGTTTATTTGCAACATTATTGGTTGCGGATGATAAAGATGTATCATTTATGTTCTGCTCAAATTTGTGGTAACTAAGTAAGTCGAGTCGACAGCGGAACGGACGGCCTAACAAGTAACAACAGCTGGGCAGGTGAGAAACCGGTAGTACAATGGACCGAATTTTTATAACTAAAAAGGAACTCATTTAATTTATTGATTATCGATTTTTGATCCGTATGTGTTTAAAATAATCCTTAATTCCCTTTTAACTATCTTAACGGTATTTTCTGCTTGCCCATTTGATGCTGGGTGATATGAAGGAGAAGTTAAATGTTGTATACCATTTGACAAACAAAAGTTTTCAAATTGATTTCAACAAAAATTACTCGCATTATCGGTTACTAGAGTGCGACATAACCCAAATCTACTAAAAATCTCTAAAAGTTCGCTGATAATTGCTTCACTATCTGTATTATTCATTTGGAAACATTCAATCCACTTTGAATGTGCGTCTACAATAATTAAAAATTGTTTGTTGGATAAAGAAAACATGTCTAAATGAACTCGTTCCCAAGGACGTTTCGGAAATGGCCACGATGCTAGTGGAGAACGGGGTGGATCATAGCGGAGCGAGTTGCGAATACTACACGATCCTATTATTTCTTCAATCTGCTTATCAATATTGGGCCACCACATACGCGATCTCGCTTCATTTTTAGTCTTTACAATGCCAAAATGGGTCTTATGCAATTCTTTAAGTAGACTTTCCCTAAAAACTGTTGGTATAACCACTTTATGTCCCCTTAATAAGCACCCATTTTCGACACTTAAATCATTTTTACATTTAAAATACGGTTTAAGTTCCGCGTTGTGCATTTTCAATGGCCAGCCATTTATAACAAAATTATTAATTTTACAGAGTATTTCATCTTGCATAGTTTCTTTCCTAATGTCATTTACCGTAATAGGTTTTAACATATTACCGTTAGTAAAATTAATAATTAAATTTGTTTGATCTGGACTACATTCAATATTATACAAATCATGAAATACCTTTTACTAAATCATTTTCATCCACCTCCAAATAATTGTTGCTCTTATATGTACCCTTACAAACACGTTTTAAATGCCCTTTTTTATTACATTTTTGACAAAAATAATTCGCATATCGACATTTATCTTTAGTATGGTTCTTATATCCACAAACCAAACAAGATATTATGTTTGTTGCTGTAGTTTGACGAACAGCATTTTCTTGGGCTCGTAAAGCGAACACCTGTTGTGCTGTCGCTGATGATGTGACTAGTCCCTCATCTTGCAATGACCTTTGAACTGAAACTCGAGCACATTGTACACTTTGTGCTAACTCCAACGCTTTGTTGAATGTTAAGCTGTCGATATTTTCACTAAAAAGCTTTTCTTTTTCCTTGGCATTTGCCAATCCCAGCACAAACTTGTCCCTTAATGCCGTCTCCAGTTCTATTTTAAAACCACAAAACTGAGCAAGATGACGAACCCGAGCCGCCCATTCAGTTAAGTCTTCGCCTGGTCTTTGTTCTGCTTTATAAAAAACATATCTTTCCGCAAATGTACATTTCTTTGGGGAAAACTGGTTGTCAATCTTTTCAATGAGAGTCTTATAAGCTAAAGCTTCTAGTTTTAAAGGAAAAACCAAGTCACGTACTAGGCGATATGTATCTTCTACTAATGAGGTAAGCAAAAAAGCTCTTCTCATAACCCCTGTTTTATCAGTCATCATGATAATTATTTGCAACACAAAACTGGACAAATCGACTCTTAAAAATATCCCATTCTTGCATGTGGTGATCAAATGTGAGGCTGTTGCCGAACAACACATTTCCTTTATTCGACATTATTTCTTGATATCTATTTCACTTTAAATATTGCAGTCAATAACACATGAATAAGATCCTCGTCGCTAAATATTGTGTATTTATGGGGATTTCACCAATAAAACACAATTTGCATTCATACCTTTTTATTTATTGACAACAACTGTCAGATCTTAGTTTTTTCATAAGCCTACATAGGTAATATGGCTTTCATACTCTACACCTTTGTAATTTTATAACACTACATAAACAGTACTGGACACCTACTCAATAAAATTTTGTGTCGTTATGGCACACACAAATCTAAATCTCCAACACTATTACATTTTATAGGTATTTTATTTTTACACATATAGGTTAAACACATCAACATAGAAAATGTTATGAGTGTAAGACGGGCAAATTAATTGCGATGCTTACCATATCGATAGTTTCCCTATGAAAAAGAGAGAAACTCTCAAGCATTAGCAAAATACACTCGAACAATTAAAATCATCTATTTAGTTGGTTAGCGTAGCAAGTTTTTTATTGTTCCGTAGTAACACAACAAGCACGGTAATATTATCTATACAGTATTCCAACTTCATACAAACGGACGAAGCGAGAGCTATGCCTACGCGCCTCGATCTCGGCATGCGCTCGGCTCAGACAGTCGAGACTGTGCCGCAGTCATGATTTTGTGAAATATATAAAAAATGGAGGAAATAAATAATAGAATAGAAATAAAGAAATAATAAATCTGAACTTCATTTAAAAACAAACATATAAATTGTAAAGTAGCTGCAGGTATCTATAACCAATTAAAAGATATTCCTTTTCTCCACGTTGTCCATGTTTCCCAAAACAATTTTTAATTTATATTATTTTTAGCTTTATATTGGAAAGCGGATTTTTTGTATTTAAAAATCTAATAACAAAGCATTTCGTAAGTCTCAGCCGAGGTGCAAATATTTTTCGGTCGCAAATTTATTTAACCGATTTGTTATTCAAACATAAACATGGTTTTTTAATTAAATCTACCAATCAAAAAACGACACGCATTTTTATTGAACACTTCCTATTCAATTCACAAAGTACCTATTTTATTTGTTTATATAAAAAGTATATTTACAATCATAAAACTAAATGGAAACACAAAGGAGGCAAATGTAAAAATGCTGGAGGCAGGTAACCCTATCACATGTTTACGTGCCGCATGGCTGTAGGCATTTATTTGAAAGATACGGCCGAGTTACAATACTGTATAGATAATATTACCGTGCAACAAGGAACGCTTATAGTTTCGCAAAGTATGTCAATCTGGCCGTTTGTCCGCGAATTAGTGCAGAGACTATTGGTATTTAGTACAATAAATATAAAGGAATAAAATAATAAATAAAATTTCAAAAAATATATTTATTTTAGGCTGATCTTAGTGATTATACATCATCTATTTTAAAACAGTATTCAAAGAGAAAAAAACCAGTTTGCTAGATATACTAGATTCGCTGACAGACATCTTTGATAGATAAAGAACGGAAACAGGTCTTAGAAAAGATAGGAATTGAAGAAAGCGAACTTTTAAAGAATAATATACCTAATAGTAACTAAAAAGTAACATTGGAAAACTGCCCAGAACTAAATATTCCCCAAAGTTAAAATGTTTCGCCCTAAAACTTAATAAATACTCATAAAAAGCCTATCGCTATGTGTGTAATAGTTTTGGAACATGTTTACCTGCCCCACAGACATTAACTGAGTGGTGCAGAACATTCGATGGTCGACCAGAGTACCTGACGGCATTAAAATTGAGAGGGGAGAGTATCCCTGATATTAAAATTTATTGTACCTTCGTAATGGATGAAATGAAAATTAAGCAATTGACGGAATACCATGCTAGCTTCCAAAGGCATTATGACTATGTCGACTACGAGTTTGATTTCATATCCGATAATTCCGATGAAGCTACTTTAGTGTTTTTATTGTTGTATATGGGTAAGGACCAAATTTTTATACCGTCGCACAACAAAATATCACACTGGAAAGTGTCACAATGGAACCTGACTGTCGCACAATAGATTTATTAAGCTGTGGTTACACTTAGAATAAAAATGAGATATTTCATTGCAATATCATGTGTGATATCACAATGTTACAAATATAGGTACATACAACTATAGTTACTGAATGGTATGTGTCTATATTGCATTCAAAATACGAAAAAATAAAAATCTTATTTTTATTAATTATTTATTCAAAACGCCAAATAATCAAAACTTTCAAACAAAAAATATTACCTTCCTTTTAGAGCAGTCGCGTAAAAACAAATAATACAGATAACTAAAGAAAACTCTTCTAAAACAAAACAAATTTCCACTATTAAATTATAACAAATTAGTGAATAATTTCTTTAACTAGAAATCTTCTAAAACAAAAAAAATCCTCAGAGAACCAAAGCTAAACATTTCCATTAATAAAAAATATCTATTAAGCAGCAGTTAAATCCCAAAAATTTCCAAGTAAATAGTGTAAAAAGTTCATTGATATTTTGTATCGAATGTAGTATCCTCCAGAGAAATAAAATAAAAAAATTAAAAGTAAGTTTCATTAAAACTGTCTAACAAATAATACTCTTTTGATTTTACAGACAATCTTATTTTTTTAACAATTGAAATATTAGTTACAGTATCGAGATCAACTTTTTTGGCCTTATAAATTTTAAATTAGGAGTTTTTACAGTCTTTAAAAACGAAACTGTATAGAAAGTTGTACCATCTTTAATTTCTACACTCGTGACAAATCCTATGTAGTACTTCCATTTTCTCATAAAATATCTTACTAACACAGCGTTGTCTACTTCAATTTTTTCAGTGAAGTCACAAATTCCTGAGTATCCTTGGCATTACAAGTGTCTATCTGATGCTCCATATTTTCTTTTAAGGTGGAAGATCTTTTGGAGGGAGATAAAAGATCTGTTTTGGGTGTGGAAGGAACGGAATTTGTACTACTTTTGTCTGGAAGCTTTTTGGAATATACGTCGAAATCTAGACCAATTTCATTAACAGTTATTTTTCCATAAGATTTAAGATCCAAATTTTTACGGTTTTTCGGCGTAATTTTAACGTCTGCCAAAACCGCCACTTTATTATTTTCTTTTATTTTTCCACAGGTCCTTTAAATATACTCTTCTTCAGTTCTTCTTTGTTTTTTCCATTATTTTTCACTATTTCCTTATCTCGTGTCTTTTTCTTCTGGTTTTCTTGTATTTTTGACTCTGATTCAGTTTGTATATTCTGTGCATTCTCTTCAGAGGACGATATAACAAAGCTTTCATTTTCATTCCATTCAGATGTATCACTCTCTGCATATTCAATCTCCATATCCGTATTTTCGGTAGATGAATCTTGATTCTTTCTTGAATTCTTGCATCTATTTTTCCTTTTTTTTAATTTTTTTTCTATTTTTATTTTTATCAAATTGTGCATTTTAGTGTCAAAGCAGTCACAATTGCCTCGCATGCAGAAGCAACTTAATGGTCTGTACTTTATTATATTTTCATATTCAGTTGCAATGACTTGATGAACTTTCATTGTAGATGGTATAGGTGTTACCCTTTCAGGCTCAGGTATTTGAATCATCTCTATGTTACTTTCTGGTACGTAAAATGTTTTCACAGACGTAACGGTTTTCGATAAAATGTCAAATACAGATTCAGCATCAACTATATCAACACCATATGCAACTCTTGCATCAAGGGTTCTCTTCACCACACCACCGACCCCGTCAGCTGCACCTTTACCATGTGATGTTTCAAAAAATGACCATGTTCCTTCGGTAAAGCCTTCTTCCTTCATTTTTTGACAAAAAAGGTAAAAGTTATTTTTTTGTTTATATTGTGTTGCAGGACCGTCAGATCAAAAGTGGATGTGGCTAATTTTGGGAAATTTCATTTTCGCAAAATCTATGACAGGTTTCAAGTGGCCCCATATAGCTTCGGGGCCGTGTTTGAGTGACGGAGAAACAGTACAAAAACAAATGGGTTTCTGATCTTTGACATACAACAAACCTGTATGTAAGGTTACTTGAGTTTTAGAAGCACCAAAGTGCATAGCCTGCACTTCTACGGCTATTTTACAAACATAATTTTCTGAGAAGTCACAATGAATGATAACTTCGTCATCTTCAATGTTTTCAAGCGCTTCTCTATATTGCTTGTATTGATGATAAATGTTAAAATATTGTACTTTAAATTTTTGAAGTTCACTTTGAAAGAAATCGACAAGACATTGAACCGATCCAGATTTAACTTCTTTCACCATTTTTTTAGTAATTTTATGTTTCCCGTCTTTGTCGTATTTATAAGTTTTATAAAAACACTCTAACCAAGACACTTCCATATTATTGTCTGGAATCCCAAAATTAAGTGTTTTGTTAGCGCATAATCTGCACTCCGAATACATACAAATTTTAGATTTAGTATGGCATACAATTTTAGACACGATCTCATTCAAATCGTTTGATTCTAGCAGGCCCAACTTTTTTAGCGACTCAATTTTGAAAATTAAATTGGAATGCTTAATACAAGCGCATGTATTGCGGGTACTTACATTTGGTGAAACTACATAAAAAGGGCGATAACGTTTAAAGGTCGTAAAAGACACATTACCGCCTTCATTTTTGTATTTTTTATATAAATTAAGTAAAGTGTCAAGCAGAAGGCGCTTTTGTTTTTGAATTTTATACTTTGTAACATATTCTTTCTTGCCAGCTGTCATGCGACTGATATATATAAAGAATTTTTTCAATTGTTTAGCTGATTTGTTTTTTTCTTTTTTGTTTATTCCGTATTGCCTAACCTCACATTTTAAGCCTAAATATTTAGTCATTTTTGTTTTCAGATTATACTTTATAGCTGTTTTACTATTTATTATATTTTTTGAGTACTCTTCTTTCTTTGAATTTCTTAGTACCTCGATATGTTTCCTTTAAGGAATTTTTCATGACATGATGTTGTAAAAGTTTTTGCTTAACTTTTGCTTTAGAACTTTCGGAAATTTGAGGAAGTTCTTCATTAATAAATATATTTGTTTTGGTCATAGGCGTTAGTTCATTTGCCTTTTGCATAGTTTGCATAACTACATTATCGGGTTCTGGCAATAATTCGGGCTTTCCACTTATTTCTTCTAATGTTTTTATTGATTTTAGGTCATGCAGCTGAGACGTAAGTATATTCATTCGTCTTTTGCATCTTATCAAAGACCTTCTCAGAGTATGGTTTTTTTTAAGTAATATTTCTACTTTTAGTTTTAATTTTTTGTTTTCGTAGGCCACTGTACTACGATACCTGCGACGTGCTTTTTGACTATTATCTGTTACCGTAGGTGAAGGTGCTTTCTGTTTCTTCTTACGCTTTTCATCTCTCCACCGTTTTCTTGCTTCTTTTTTTTCCGTTTCATCCATTTCCGAAATTTTCTTTTTGTTTTCTTTCGTTCTTTGCGCATTCTTTTTTTTCATTTCTAGGAATTTTTCAGGATTTTTCATTTTTTAATTTTTCGCGGTACTTGCGGCACCTTTCTGCTGACGATAAAGGCATCTGAGAAAAGAAACTAAGATTTTTTTCGATTCCAGAAAAATTGAAATGGAAAAGTTGTTTAGTACTATGAGTACAACTGCCACGTAAGAGGCTATTACTGTTTTACAAATAACCCTGTATATCAAAATTTCTTTGCCTTTTGATCTAGATATAATTGTTTTCTATTTTTGCAAAAATTGAAACTTATTACTTACAATACAACTATGTAAACTAACCTTTAGGAATCTCTGTTGTGACACGTCGCAGAATTTCGTGTCACATGTGTTACAACGGAACAAAATTTCTTTACGACTTAACTTACAAAATATTATAACTCTTAAAACTTACCACTTAAATGAGCTCCAATTAATGTTTTTGGTGCTTTAGTTCTTTATAGTTCCTTTGTGTAAACTCAAACTGCAAAATACTTCACAAAACACAAGTTACTTATAATAAAATTTTCGAAATATTAATGACAAAACAGTACGTTTGAGACGCAATGGTCGATTGTCATTGAATACAAAATGGCGGCTGGTATCTGAAAATATTGCCAGCATTTACTAATGTTGCAAGACTAAATAACAAAGATACTGCTAAAATACGCCATTAGTTCCATAATAAAAGCGTCGCACAATTGGAAGATCACAACGGAACGAATATTAGGACATGTCTTTAATACACGATTAAACATAAAATTACTGCAAACAACGTTATTCTTATGAACAGGATTAAAGGAAGTATAATGGAAAAAAAAACTAGTCTCATATTTGGAACCCTAGTACTCTTTATAAAAAATCAACACTGCATTGTACCGCGAAAGTCAGCATTGTGACACTGTAATTTTGTATGAAAGACAAATATCACAACACGAGATCGGTACATTATTTAAGAAATCTAAACAGTAAATCCAAAACAATAATGTCTGAAGTAGTAGTAGTAGTAGTAGTCAAGCAAGTTAATATTTAATTTTGTTTAAATGAAATAGCATTTAGGGTGTACAAGTTTTTTTAAATTGATCTAAAAAACGTAGGACATCATTATATTTCCGACTCGTAGAAGAATTTGGTCCTTACCCATATATATATATATATATATATATATATATATATATATATATATATATATATATATATATATATATATATATATTCCTCGACCGATTTCGGCCACGGCGACCTCTTCAACTCCGATCCTGTCGTTGGTGTGCTCGTGCATGGCTATTAACGTAGCCGATCTTATTTACAAATGTTCGCGCGAAATGCGGGCAGGTGAACACACCGTTACAGAAATTATAGTTAATCGCACAAGGTGGGCGTGCTTTGAGTTCATCACATCGGGCATCCAGTTCAGAGCAGCGATTCTCCTCAAACATTTTGACCTTGGCTTTCACCAGACCTCCACTCTGATCGTCGAGCGACTGCTTGCTCCCACTCTAAAGGCTCATTGTCGCACCTCTTCATGTGGCGCTTAAGTACATCTTTATACCTGAGAAGTTGTCCGCCATGCTTACGCTTGCCCTTCTCAAGTTCAGAAAAAAAGATGCACTTTGCCGTACGCTGGTTTGACATTCGCGATAAGTGTCCACACCAACGGAGTTGTCGCTCCATAAGGTAGGCCTCAATCCCCATGGTATGGGCTCTACGCAGCACTTCCGTGTTTCGAGTGTGATCAGCCCAACGGATATTGAGAATTTTGCGCAGACATTGCAAGTGGCAGCGATCCAGCGTCCGTATGTGACGGCGGTAAACTATCCATGACTCTGAAGAGTACAATGTTAGGCAGCACTACCGCCTTATAAATGTCAATTTTGGTAGGCAGCTTTAGGTCATGTGAACCAAAGATCTTGCGATCCAGTTTACCGAATACCGCAGCAGCGGCACCGATCCGACTGTTGATTTCAGCATCAAGGTCACACTTTGATGTTATCGTGCTCCCCAGATAACGAAATGTATAGATTTGCTTAAGTATGTCATCACCGAGTTTGATGGCCATTGCCTCTTGACCGTAGATATCTAAAGACATCACTTCCGTCTTTTTAACACTTATCTTTAGACCAAAACTACGGCACGACTCATGAAAGGTGGTCACGAGCTGTTGCAGGCCAGCTGGGGAATCGGTAATAAAATATAGACCATCTGCGTAGACGATCTCTGTAATAAGTGCATAAGATACTTTCGTACGGGCCTTATGTCTGTCTAAGCTGAAAAGATTGCCATCATTGCGGAAACGAATGCGGATTCCTTCAGGGGTAGTTTTTAAGACTTCCTGGACTACAACTGCAAAGTATAACGCGAAAAGTGTGGGTGCAAGAACACACCCTTGTTTTCTACTATCCAATGCTTTCTCAAGGTCTACAAAACAGAGCTACATATTATAACCCTGTTCTCTGCTTTTTTCCTGCAGTTGACGCAATGAGAAAATCGCCTCACAGGTACCACGGTCTGGTCGAAAGCCGAACTGGGATTCCGGCAAAATCCTTTCAGAAAGTTTCCTGAGGCCGTTTAATAGAAGTCTGACGAAGATTTTTCCAGGCACAGAAAGTAGAGAAATGCCACGGTAAGAATTGCAGTTCGACGGTCACCCTTGCCTTTATATGGGGCTCGTATGAGGGATACCTTAAAAGTATTAGGAACTTGTTCTTTTTCCCACATAATGACAAAAAGTTCCCATATTGCCGAATACAAATCTCCACCGCCATACTTCATTAATTCACCCGGTATAAAATCAACAACAACCGCGTGTTGATTTTTCTGTTGCTTAATGGCAAGAGCAACCTCGTCAGGCGAGACTGGCTCATCGAGCTCGAGGGCGAAAGGTTGCTGAGGTAGGCAGCGAACATGGTCTAGGTCAACAAAACGATCAACGTTAAGTAGGTTGTTGAAATGCTCCGCCCATCGCTCGTTTATTTCCTCCCTGCTTTTAAAAAGCGCTTCACCACTAGTTGAACTCAGTGGAATTTTTGCCATAGACGACGTACCGAGTAGATGTCGCACCTCAGCATAAAACTCACCGAGCTGGTTGGTATCAGCGAGCCACTGCATCTGACGAGCCTTCTCCTGCCACCACTTAT